GTACTCCCCTTCCGCCTTTTCAGCTGTGTCCACGTTTTCCTTTAATACATCGAGAATTGACCGTGCCTCACTTCCCGGCAATTCATTTGCCAGCATGGTCGCAACATTCAAAAGATTGCTGATAACGTTCCGCCGAGCCCTTAATTCTTGCAGCTCCATATCTTCTTGGATATCCGCGACAGGTGTGGGTTCTTGCGCTTCGTGGGGCGGCAAAGTGACAACGGCTGGAGGGACAGAAGGCTCCATGTACTCAACTTCGGGCACACCTGGCGCTGGACCTGGATCTGGCTGCTCTGGAAGCTGTGGCAAGGTAGGTTGTGGTGTAGTAGGCTCTACAGGAGGTGGCTGAGTCGCTTGTTGGGCGTGTTCTTCTGCTGCCGCTTCCTCTTCCTCTTCAATACCTGGTTGCACCTGGGGAGGGGCTGTGGGAGGAGGTCCCGCCTTCCGGACAAGCTCCTTTCCGGTCCTCCTCGTACGAGTTATCGGCCTCTGCACGAATCCTTCATCTGGTATTCCATCGCCACCACGCTCCTCTGGTTGTTTCGTTTGTTTCTCATGTGGAACTTCCGCTTTTGGTTTACGCGGCGGTATCGGCATGGGCATTTCTGGTGTAGGCATGTGGGGCAGGGATATTTCTTCTGCAGGTTCCTCTGGCTGCGAAACTACCAGTTCCGGTGAAGGTTTTTCTTCCTGCACAGGCTTTCCTTCTTCTGCTTCTTTTGCTTTTCTTTCTTCCCCTTTCGGTTGGGGTTCCTCTTGGGGGGGTTTAACTTCTTCTTCCGCCTTCTTTTTGCGCTCTCGCCCCCTGAGAAGTACAACTGCCCTTACTAAGATCAAGAAAAGAACAGTGAAAGCAATTACGTGGCATCGATTCTCTGTCAGATGTAAACTCGCCAGCTGGGGATCCATCATTTCCTGCTGGGCAGCCAGTTCTTCATGCAGCCTAGCCATAGTGTCGTCCGGTACTCCTCCGGTGGTTTCCAGTTCTGCATCATCCTCGGCGGCGTTTCTACCTGATGCCTGTGAGGAGTACACATTCTGCTGCTCCAGAATCCAGAGTGCCACAAACATCCACAAACACCGGAAATACCTGCGCAAGCCAGGCAGCTTGTATGACAGTTTCTTGCTTTTCATTGTCACAATGACGCCAGTCACCCGGAGTAGTATCGAACGTAGTGTAGATGCCAATAGACCCCTCCTAGGCTGATCACTTGGAGAGAGGTCCACTTACTGAACCCCCCCAGAACATTTCAATGGTAACTGCTTGGCTCGAATGCAGATCATGCAAAGATAATTCTGCTTTTCAGGTGAATAACTCCACAAAAATGCGCAGAGAATGATTAGGAAGGAGGGGGGCAGCGGAAGTGGTAACCTGCAAGCTTGCGATGTAGCTTGTGTGGGCCTCACGAAATTCTTTCTCACGAACTAATGACAGAAAAAACGACTGCTGATGGCTATTACAAACAAGAAGTAGTTTGACAGAACTTGTTCTTCAACTCAAAACTCGTATCGAGCGCTGCATCTCACGGGCGTGCCGCTTACGGCGGGAACCGTAGTGCGCGAGGCTTACAAGTGAGTTGATGCGTAATGCTCTAGTTATAGCATCCGTAAAATACGTTATTTAGAGATTCCGTACGCCAGAATCGTCATGGTCGCGCAAGCGGGAGCTATACGCCGCTGGCCGACAGCAACAGGAGATGCTGACGCCCTAGGCGAGGCGATATCGATTACGGAATCTCCCCCCCTAGAGATGTCTGTAGAGGGGGCGTTCAGCCAAGCCGCAGGCAAACGGTCTCTTGTTTTCGGATGTTTTTTCTGAAACCGAGGCTCTCAGTTTCACTTTGTTTATGTTCCTTTCCAGCTAGATGATGTGTCCGTTCGACCGTCAACTGACGACCCTACAGAGTAATTACAACGCTTGTTCTCTGGCCTTCATCAGAGACACAAGCGAGCTGCAATGTGGGTGAAGACTTAAAGTAACAGCTTCCCAGAAGCAACTGACCTCCC